TATATATATATCCTCAAGTCTAGCAGTCATGCTTCTGCCATTTTAAGGAGGATGGTAAAGGAAAGAATTCCAAGTTCCCAACTAGGCTGTCAAACTCCAGTGAATCTCTCTTCTCTTCTCACAGACTCATAAAGGATGAGAATTCAGGGGGGTGTGCAGCGATTCTTTCTTGCACAGAGCACCCTGTGTCTGAGCAGTGCTGGGTCTGAGATATAAATTATTGTCTGCCAGAGTGCTGGGAGAAGGAAGTGATTTCTGTTTGTTCGAGGTCATCACGACTGTTCATTTCCACAGCAACCAGGAACTGGGCGATTTTGACAAAAAGCGCAACGGCTATGGAGGCTGAAGGGGAGAGAGAATGAAGGGAGCGTGTAAATCTTCACCCGCTTTCATGAGTCTTAGGAAAGGGCAACTTGCTCGGAGGTCTGATTTTGCAACACTCTTATTTCAGGGTGACTGGATCATCACCTCCTTTGACTTTGAGAGAATGCAGGGGATTTTATTATTATTATTATTTATATTGGGAACATTAAAGTGACCCCGCTTATTTGGGGTCTTTGCAAAGTTCAAGGCAGCAGTGTGACATGACAAACCTGCGGGGTTAATGAAGTCCTGGGTCTGGCAGGATCTGCCTTTCTATGAGTTGTCTAGGGGAAGTGTGTGGAAATATTCCATGATCTTTTCATTCCATTTTCCCACGGACTTTCTGAAGCCCCCTCATGGTAGAAACTGTGGGCATGAATGCGTTTGCTCTGCTTCCCAGTGAAAGGACTGCAGGATTCCAGGCACTCCCTCTATCTCAGGGTGATTAGTATGTGTGACACTGTGAAAACATTATTTGACCCATCAAAGGGGTCACTAACTCAATGTTCCAGCCACCTCATGGTGTTGATAGCCAATATATAATTGTAACTTTAATCACTTGGAAAATAAGGCAGAATATTAAGTCATTGAAGAGCTGACTATAATTACTGTGTATTAAAAAAGAAGTATTAATAGAAATAAAATAAGCATGGCTTTGAATATTCCTGTCATCTTTCTCTTGTCAACAAAATCATGACTATGCTGCAGCTCAACACACTTTATTGGTCTCTCTGATAGTAGGCATAAGGGAAATAAAATCATGAATCAGTGTTTGTGTGAATGTGGAATGGAGTAATAAAATATGGTATTTGCTAAAGGATAGTTGTTATCCAAATACAAGCCAAATGATGATGATCTGGATTATACATTTTCTTTCCAAGTTGAGTCTCTTTAATTTGGCAAAGATGTGCCACATTTAGGATAGGAAGGATTACGAGTCACCCAGACCAGGAAGCCAGAGCCTGGTAGAGAATTTTTTTCTCTTCCTGTTCTGCTGTCTCCTGTGCATTCCCGTGCATACCATCGTGGCTGCACTTGAATGCCTCGTTAGGCTCTTGGAAGCAACTTCGGTGATAACGGCTTCTTTGTTCCATATTTTGTACCTCTGTCTTTCGCCTTGGGCTCTGTAAGTCGCATGGAGACAGGAGGCTGCTTTATGTTTTCAGCCAAATAAGGCATTTTAAAAATGTTTGTGAAAAAAAAAAATGTTTGTGAAAGAAAGTATCTCTTATCTCTTGGGCAGGCCTTGGAAGACAAAATGTCCCTTGATGAGATTCAGAAGCTTACATCCATCGATAAGTGGTTTTTGTTTAAGATGCGTGACATTCTAAGCATGGAGCACACACTGAAAGGGCTCAAAAGGTAAGACATGACTGCTCCAATGAACTCCAGGGATCACCTGTCAATGCTTCCTCTCACCTTTTAGCATATGATCAACATTCTGCTTCAATGAGATAAATAATGCCAGTGTTGGAAACTGTAATCATAGGCACAAATGAATGGCAGTGTTTAGATGTTTAGTCTATGATAGGAATTGATGAATTTTCAAGTGATTTTCCACCACCATCACCAGCCAACACAATGATAATTGCAGTAGAACTGTCTGTTGAATTGACAAAGAGAGGCGCACAGAGATGTGGCATTTGATCATCAACTTACCTGGATTTTCATTTTATTTACCAACAATTAAATGAAGGTGATTTCTGTTTCCATATACTAAGTCGGAAGTCTCATTTCCACTCTCACCTCAAAGACTGCCATATGTGGATGAGCAAAGGCACTCCTCTTGCATTCTACTGATACAGGCTTCTCCCCATTGGCACATCGTGGTCAGCAAACAACCAAGCCGCCCTCCGGTTTCTGCTAATAGACTCTACCTCTCACTCATTCACATTTTATCTCCTTCATGGCCAATTATTTTCAAAATTTCGCTTCATGTTTAGAATATTCCAATAATGTTACTGCTGTCATAGCTTTGTTTTCATTTCTTATGGGAGGACCATTTGGTGGGGCACCTCTGACTTGTGACATGACAGGTTTAGAAGACGTATCTTTGATAGCAGGTGGATTGATCAGTCATTTGAAGAAGACGGTGAGTTAGGAACTGCGCTTACACATTTTTCTTTGCAGTTTGCTGACTTGAGATTTCTTTTCCTGGTTTATAATGCCAGAAGAACTTCCATGTTGAATTATAATTTTTTCCACTGTTCTTAGTTTCAAGCAAGGGATTTAAAAAAAATCATTTTATTAGGGGCTCATACAACTCTTATCACAATCCATACACACATCAATTGTGTAAAGTGCATTTGTACATTCATTACCCTCATCATTCTCAAAACATTTCCTCTCCACTTAAATCCCCAGCATTAGGTTCTCATTTTTCCCCTCCCTCCCGGCTCCCCCCTCCCTCATGAGCCCTTGATAGTTTATAAATTGGTATTTTGTCATATCTTGCCCTGTCTGACGTCTCACTTCACCCACTTTTCTGTTGTCCGTCCCCCAGGGAGGAGGTCACATATAGTTCCTTATAATTGGTTCCCTCTTGCCTACCCACTCTCCCTCTACCCTCCCTGTTTCGCCACTCACACCACTGGTCCTGTAGGGCTCATCCACCCTGGATTCCCTGTATTTTCAGTTCCTATCTGTACCAGTGTACATCCTCTGGTCTAGCCAGACTTGCAAGGTCGAATTCGAGTCATGGTAGTGGGAGCGGGGAGGAAACATTTAGGAACTAGAGGAAAGTTGTATTTCTCATCGTTGTTACATCACACCCTGACTGGCTCATCTCTTCCCCGAGACCCCTCTGCAAGGGGATCTCCAGTGGCCTACTAATGGGCTTTGGATCTCCACTCTGCACTCCCCCCATCATTCACTATGGTAAGATTTTTGTTCTGATGATGCCTTATACCTGATCCCTTCGACACCTCGTGGTTGCATAGGCTGGTATGCTTCTTCCATCAAGCAAGGGATTTTTGAATGACAAAGAAACCACACCAATTAAACCACATGAGGGTGCTAGAAACTTACAGTATGCCAAATGTAGCAGTGCCTAAGACCTGGGGTGAAAATTATTTGATGGCATTATTATTTAAGCTTCCACTTGATATGCTTTCTGATTTTTGGGTGAATTTGAGATTTTAATTGAGTAGTTTTTATTGCAGTAGAAACCATGTTTTGAGATGCTAACTAAGCAGAAATAAGTATGTATTGCTAGTGAAAAAGGTCCCTGATGGATTAGAACAACTCATTATTCTAGATCATTTATAGTATCTTTCTGACTTCTACATTCTGTTAACTTTATTTACTGATAATATTTTCAGTTTCCATTTTCAGGGAAAACTTATTAGGAGTCAGATATTTTCCATTGTTCATAATGATCTACATAACAAAACTCTGTAAATCTTTTGCTTTTTCTAAGGAGTCCAAAAAACATACCTCTTAACTATGTTTTATCCTTATAGTTTTCTTTAATCAGGGAGATTAAAATACCTATTATAGATAGAAAACTACCATAAGCTGAGACTAAAAACTCTTAATGGATGGTCCAAGACGTTAGGAAAGTGGAAACTTGAACTCAGTTTATTTTTTGAGTGCTGCCAAATTGCTTGTTGAATGTCATAGACCCTAATCTGGAAATTCCATCGTGATGGCTCCTTAGAGGTGTTATGTAAATAAAACAAGACTAGCTGGCACTGACATACCTGCATCAGTCATTCTGTGGCATGCAAGGGTCTGCCGTAGAAAGACTATCAGAGCTGAAGGGATGCCATTGTGTAAGCGTGTGGAGAAAATCAGCATGCACCATTCTTCCTCTGACCCTAGCTTCTTAGAGCAGTCAAGGTCAGACTTCGTATGTTCAAGGCCACAATCTTCCAGACTGCCATTTCTTCCCTAGACCTTACCTATTAGCTAAGGAGTTTCCCTCACATCCGCATTTCGGACCTGCTGGCTACAAATTGGTGTTTTCCCATTACCCTTTCAGGATACCAGCCATATACTTGGGAGGAATGCTCTCATTTCTGTCATCCTGGCTGAAAAACTGGGGGTTCCCTCTGCTCTTTGATGATATCATAAGTTCAGGGGTCCCCTACTTCTGGTCTGCCGACACCCACTGCTCCTTACTCAGATTTAAGAATTCACTAAAATGGCTTCTAGATCTCATGGAAAGTGTCTTCCATCAATCAGAAATCCCATACAGCTTTGATGCCCAGAAATTTTATTGGGGCCTTATTATGGAGGCATGATTAATGATGATATAATTAAATGATCTCTTGTTCCTTTTACCGTACCCCCTTAGCTTTCCCATCTCCCTTCTATCCTCAGTAACCTCATTAGCATACAACCTCAGGAGTGGTCTGATCATTTCATCAAAGACACTTTGGTCAGTAGGTCATTTCAAAGTTTTAGAGGTTATCTTGGAAGAACCAACAATAATTCCAAATTCTTTTAGTAAAGTTATTTATAATCCTCATAGTAGGGCTTGCATTTTCTTGCCTTATCTGATTCTCTCATCACGAGCCCAAACCACAAAGTCTGAAATGTTTTTCTGAGCCTCCAAATATCCATAGGGGGTCCTGCTGGTGCAGGTGTGAAAGCTCTAGGCTTCAAACCAGAAGGTTAGGGATTTGAACTCACCACCACTTCACCGGAGAGCTGTCACCATCTGCTGCTATAAAGATGTCACCTGTGGAAAGTCTCTTCTGACTGGAAATCTCTGTGCGTGGGAGTCAACTCAATGGCAATGAGTTAAATATCCAGGAAGACTCATTTCCACAGATTGGAGAACCACTGCTTGCTGGTATGATATAGGTGAATACTGTACCGCAGGCTTGGACAACATTCAGAAAAATCACTTTTCCATTTTCATTTGTATGCATTTATGGCTCACTAAAGGAACCCTGATGGGTTAAGTAAATGGGCTATTAATCCCAAGGTTGCTGGTTCAACCTACCAGCCGCTCTGTGGGAGAAAGACGAGAATTTCTGCCCCCATCAAGATTTCGTCATGGAAACCCTTGGGAGTGGCTGTCCTGGGCCCTCATCAGGTCACTGTGAGTTAGAATTGACCGTGCACTTGTGGGTGCTGCTCTTTGTTTCAGGATTTCAGCTACTCAGTATGGGGAAGCCTGCTTACTGAGGTGGACCACAGACGGGGCTGTGTTGTGATTTGAAATGATGCTAACATTTCCATATTTCAATATATTTCTGGCCCAAAGTACCTCACTTCCTTTCATTTTTGTACTAGAAGGAAAAAATATTATCTTTGATTTCATGAACTTTTTGGAAGCTCACTGTCTAAGTTTCTGGGGAAAAGGGTAGTGGGTACTTCACCTGGAAAAGCTTCCAGAGAAAAGGAGGCATGAACTGTTAGTGTTAGATCTCTCTGGAGCTAGATATACCTCGGTCCTTGGCTCTGCACGAGAAAGAATTCACGCCGAAGCCTGGTTCGTGATCGAAGTGAGTTTTATGAAAGTTAGAAGAAGTTTCAGGTTTACACGGCACCCAAGGGGCTCCTCCCGGACATGCGGCCTAGCTGGAAGCGGCTCTGCGTCCCGCAAAGCGTGCCAAAGCTCTCTGCGCCTAAGTTCTCTCTCCTCCCGTCTAAGTTCCCTCTCCTCCCCTCTGGGCTTCTGCCTTTTCAAGGATTCCACAGGGAGGCGTGGTGGAAGACCCCTGATGGACCCCATTGGCTGAATTGAATTTACCTGGCTAGGTGAGCCAATTCAAGTTCACGCCCACCCATGCCTACCGGCGGGAACCCTGAACATGTGCAGTGCGCCACTCCTGTTTCCCTAGCTTGGCCCTCTGGGCACGCGTTAACAGACATCCCCCAGTCCTATGCTGGCCTACCTAACATTAGCACCTGATTTCTTCCTCAAGCATTGGAAGCAGCAGAGGCGATGGAGCAAAGTCGATTGCTGTGTCAGAGCCTCCCCTTCCATGGAACCAGGGGCGCATTGCCTCCTTCCTCCTCCGTTAGTCTCATAGTCTTCCTGCCCATGTCTCCGTCCCAGTGCTGTTGGGACACTTACGTGATCTCAGGAATAAGGGCACCTGGCACATGGTGGGCTGAAGAAGGGCTCTCCTTTTCTCCCCGAAAGTAAAAAATGTCATCTGTTTAATCACGAGGATCCCATGAGCTGTATACAGATAGGAGTTCAATTTCAGATCATAGGTATTGTGAATTGTGCAATGTGCACTTCATTTTTTTCTCTAGGATGTATTGTTGCTTATTTTGACACCTGAGCTTGTTCTTGTTTCTTTTTTGGGTAAGGGAGCAATGATGGCTAGGGATACAAATGCTATTCTTATAAAAAGCTCAATAGCACACCATTATGTTAATGAACAAAATATCCCACCTCT